CCTGCTGGGCTCTGGCTCCCCCTGGCCAGGAGGCCCCAGGGTGCTGGGCTGGGTAGAGATGTCTCCCCTCTGTACATAGTCTGTATTTATCAATAAAGCCTTTTCATCCTTCCTCTGTCCCTGGGGTAGGCTGGGGGGGCTGTCACCCACAGCCACGGGAGGATGTTGTGCCTGTCCTACATCTGCTCCCATGTTGGGATGGGCACAGGGTGGCCGGGGAGAGCCTGGATGCCCCAGCTCTGCTCCCCAGTGCCACCCTGTCCCACCAGCCCCGGCTCTTTGCCTGCCTGGACACTTCCACAGCGCTGCCGCCATCATCCCATTGCCATCCCTGCTGCTTGCCGGCATGGAGCCACCGCCTTCTTTTCCCGGTGTTCTCCGGAGGTTTCAGCCTGTGCCTGCCTCGGGGCTAGGTGGGACAGTCCACAGAGGGGAATGGTCCTAGGACCACCTTCGCGGCCTCCATCACCTGTCCTGGTGAAAATGGCGCCTTTCTGCAGCCGGAGGCTGTGGCACCCATGGGACAGGACACCCAAGGGTGTCCCTGGGAACTGCCCGAGAGGGTGACAGTGATGTGTCCCCATCTGTCCCTCCCCCAGGTCCTGTGCTGGCGGCCAGTGCCCAGCGCATTAACTGTCCCAGCACAGGGCAGTGCTGGCCTCATCTTACAAAGGGGGAGAGCAAAGCCTATGGGGGCTGAACAATGTCCTGGCTGCCAGGAATAGCTGCCGGCTCTGCCTGCTGGCCCCATGTGCGGCCGGCCCTGCTGCCAGGCTGCCCGTGCGCAGTGGGGGAGGCTGGGCTGCCACTGGGACCCTGGCAGGGCTGCTCGGGACGCTCCGCACCTGAGGTCATCCTCCAAAGCGGCACGGAGGGGTCATGGCTCCCGGCATCGTGTGCTGCCTGCTACTGGCTGAGAGGTTTGAGGGGGCCCATTGCCTCCTTTTGTGGTGGGCGGCAACCCCCCTGGGTGCCAGGGAGCCCTGGGAGATGCTGGTGGGTGCCGCAGCATCTGGTTGCATGGGGATAGGTGACAGGAGCCACAGGGAGCATCCTGGCCACCCAGGGTGGGTGGCACAGGACCTGCAGGGTGACCCCCGACCGTGTCCCTGCTCTGTTGAGCCTCTCTGGACTGGCTGCCGTGGGCTGTGCACACCCCAGCTCCCTGCACCCAGCACGGGGGTCCCAGCCAGCCCATGGGGGGGCAGTGGGTCTCTTTAAGAGGGTGCAGGGCCAGGGAGGTGAGCCAGGGCCACCAGAAAGCAGGAGGGTGAGCTCATGGCAAAGCTGCCCAAGTCATGTGGAGCAGCCACAGCTGTCAGTGCCCTTGGGCCGCGGGACGGAGGGGCTGGCGGCATAAAGCCCCGCGGCCAGCGGAGCCGCCGGCAGTGCTGGGAGCCAGGGCCGGGCACTCCCTGCCCGTGCTAGCGAGGAGGAGAGGCCGCATCCTGCACGGGGCTGTGTACCGCAGGCAGACATGGAGCTGGACGTGCAACGGGCCAAGGAGCTCATTGAGCAGAAGCTGGCGGAGGAGGAGGAGGAGGAGGAGGAGAAGGTGGGTCCATAGGGCAGGTGGACCTGCTGACAGGGACCTGCCTTGTGCTGTGTCCATCCTTAGGGACTTGGATGTGAGGAGGCTGGCACCGACCTGCCATCCCAGGAGATGCAGCAAGGTGGCCAAGGGCTCTCAGCGGCATCAGGTTCCCAACACGGGAGCTCTTGCCCATGGGGCAGAGCCGAGCAGCAGGCAGGTGCCCAGCTTGCCAAGTAGGGCAGGTGGGCAAGCGCAAGCCCAAGGGCTGCCGGGCATCCCGTAGACCTCAGCAGCAAGCTGCGAACCGTGCCCAGAGCCACCTCCACCGGTGGGCTGGGGACGGTGGTGGTGGGGCTGCTCCGTGCCAAGACCGTGCCGTGCAGCCCCCCCC